AAATATTACATTGAAATATCCCACGAAATAAAATTTAAAATTCATTATAATACGCCAGGTCTTTTTTTAAATGGGGTTTGAAGAGGGTATGACTACTCCTTTTTTGGTATGGAAAATCGAGGCTTTCGCGAGTGTTCTTTACGTTAAATTATCAAAAAATATGGAGTTTTGGGTGCGGGTATTAAAGTATAACTTGGTGTAGCGTATTAAAATAAAAGCTGTGTATTTATTGGTGAGATGTGTTTACGTGTGATGTAGAATTTAGTTATAGTTTAGTATTTAGTATAATTTAGGTATAGTTTAGTTAGTTGTATATTAATATCGCAGGGACAATGATGAAGCGATATTTGTCTCGGTTTCTCACTCGGGGAACATTCGAGACGTTACGCGTTGAATACAAAAAAAATTAATATTGTGTAGAACTACTGAAAAGCTCAAAGCGCCTGTTAGTCTGAATTGTCCTCGAAAAATATATCACACAACCGATTTCGCCGTGCCTCACCTATATTTCATCTTCACCCGATCATCCCTAAATTAAAGATGTCATTAAATAATTATAATACTTACGTTATCACCAGTCATTACCCAGTGTGAATTTAACAGTCTCTGCATGACTCCACTGTCTCTCAGCAACAAAAGACTAGTAATTAAAAATTTAATGAATTTATAAATATCAACTGCTCGTGTCTTTTGCTGATTAAATAAAATGGGAAAATGTGCAGACAAGGAAAAATAGACGAAGATGGTACGGATAATAAAAATTGATGAAGCTTTGAGGGGACTATTCCTCACTTGCTGTCCAAAATGCCTCGATAGGGACTCCCTGGTCTCAATCCAAAAGCAATCGACGTCTGCGATATCGTGTCAAGAGGCACTAGAACACATCCAACCTCAGATTGAAGTTGTCCCACTGCATGATCCAATGCCATAAACGCATACTTGTCTTCGTTGCACACGAGTGTTAATCCTTCCAAATAATCACGGGGCAATTCCGTCTCCTTCATTAGGAGTTTGTCGAAAAGGGTTCCCAGTATTTCATCTGTTGTATTCTGTCAAAATTTAGACAACTGATTTTATTTCTGAATTGAATTCCAGAAAGTTCTGAAATCCTATTAGTTTTTACTTGAAGATTTTTAATTGTCGACTATCATGACACAATGATGGTGTTGATCCCGATTTCATGATTTCAAATATCTATGGTCTTTAATTTTTTATTTGAATGATCAAAATAGTTTCCAATAGGGGACTTCTTTCTCGAGAATCAATGAAGGCAAAAGGGAGGGAGACAGCTAGGCAAATGAAGGATGGAAAAATTGAAAGGGTTGATAAGGAGTAGTACGGGCAGAATCGTAATGTCAATGATAAGAAAATCCTGAAAAACCATGATATCTTTATTATTTAATGTGTGAGCTATAATTGTGATCAACATACGGGATTAATTTAGAACGTCTTATAATACCTAGCATCGGACTTTTTTCAGAAAATTTATTCGTCAATTCCGACTGAAAAATTATATTCCGCACATATCGGAGTGCACACGGAAGAAAATTACTTGAATTACTTACTTGCTTACTTGAATTAAGTATATTTTATACTTGATTGTAGCATATTCATAATTGGTATTAAAATCGTGGGAAAAGCATTTTTTTATCTATATTCATTAAAAAAAATGAATATACAAAGATAAACAATAAAATATAATTGATTCAATTTTTTTTTCCGTGCATGAAACCAAATGTATATGCCTGAAAAGTACACAAGTACAAAATCCAAAGTATCCGACCGTGTGACATAAACCTATAGGCTTTAATGGAAGACTGTGAAAACTCAACGTTGAGGTGAAGCTTCTCAGAAAATATCGATTTGCTTTGAAAATTGTGGCATGTGCACGAGTTGGGTTTTGGTTTTTGTTTATACATTTGCTGATAGAACTGATAGGACTGTGTAAGTAAATGGCATTTTGACTCTAAATGGTTTCATATGAAATCACTTAAAGTCTTTGAAACCCCGTAATCTCACTGATTGTAGGTAATCTACCTAATTTTACTAATTATAGATTAATTTCAATTCAGAGCGACACAGTGATTTCACCAATAAAGGCCCTTCAGCTTGTGCACTTATTCTCTTGAATATTAAATAGACGAAAGTAAAGAGATTCTGTTTTTTTTTTGTTTTGCTTTAGGCTTCAGTCATAAGCTTAAGCATGAATTACCTGGAAGAGTCCAAAATCAGCGGAGTTTCTGACGACTCCAAATCTGTATGTATTGTCCTTGAGAAGGCCCTCCATGGTGGTAAAGGGGAGGACGAATGTTTTGACAGCCAGGGCACTGATAAGAGCTGCAGAGTACGCGGCGAGGATTACAACTCCTGTCAGATGGATCACAAAATGAGATATCCGGATTGGATCTAGGATCGAGGTAGCCATTCCTGCGATTGAAAAAGGAAATGTATGAGCGAAAGGAATATTTGGAAATTGTTCTACTGACCTTGACCACAGAACACCCCGAAGACCGCGAACAATATGTCTGGTACGTTCCTTGTTGTTGTTTCATTGTCTTTCCACCAATTCGCATACAACGATATCGCAGATGTAAGTAGGGAAATTACAGCAGTTGTAATAGCTATTGTCAGTACTATTGCAAACCAAACGTTGGGTTCAAAAGGATTCAAATATACACCCCATTTCAAAGCTGAAGACGACGGTCTTTTGATGTACGCTCGAATTCTAGGAGGATAACAAGTAATAATCATAAATTAATAA